TTTATTTATTTATTTATTTATTTATTTATTTATTTATTTATTTTCCTGCTCTATATTCTTAAGATGTACGCTCTCTCGGGCAGGGAGGAGGTGTGACAGGGTTGTTCTGGCTTTGGACCTGGAAGAGGAACATTGGCATATAAAGGGTGGCTTATGACACTTTTATTTACCGCCAGCAGGAGGAGCCAGAGGCCCGAGTCCCCGCCCAGAGTGGTGAGTGACAGCCCTGTCTAACCATAGAAACTACAAATCCCATGGTGCATTATTCCTGCTTTGAAAACATCTGCATCAGAAACTTGTGAAAATAATACTTGGGGATTGTAGTTTTCTAAAATAGTTCTTTGACCTAGTGGGTTGGGTGGTGGTATACTGGGGTGGGGGGCAATGATGACCTCTGAGCTTTCTGATTTGTTGCTTCCCCCATCCACCCAGAACCTGTGCGGAGACCCTGGGAGAAGAACAGCACAACCTTGCCAAGGTAGGCCATCCGTGTTGGGTATCCACCTCTCAAAAAAGTTGAACTTTTCTCTTGTACAAGGGAGAACATGCCCGGTGTTGGTGGTACATGCATTTAATCCCAGCACTCGGGAGGCAGAGGCAGGCGGATCTCTGTGAGTTGGAGGCCAGCCTGGTCTACAAGAGCTAGTTCAAGGACAGGCTCCAAAGCTACAGCGAAACCTTGTCTCGAAAAACCAAAAATAAAGAATAAAAACAAGGAGGAACACACCGTGACCTCTAGACCAGGAAAGGGGAGCAGTGCCCCTTTAACCTCAGTCTGTTTCATACCCACTCTTCCAGGATGAAGTCTTCTTCTTCTGTGACTACCTCCGAGGCCCACCCCCCTGCCCCCAGCTCCAGTGATGACTCTGACTTGGAGAGAGTGAAGCAGGTAGCTTGGGGAAACAGATCTCTTGATGCCGAGAGACAGACCTGGGTCCAGAATGGTTCTAGAGAAGGCTTAGAAACCTCAGTCTGCCGGTCTGAAAAGGGAGATGGTGGGTGGCCCCTGGTAGGGAGAAACACCGATTTCTAGTGCCTGTCTCTCACTGTGAGTACCCAGACTGCTCAGTTAAGTAGCTCCAGCTATCCATCTCTCGTCGGAGTTGGCAGGAGATTGTGCACATTTGGCAAGCTTCTTACTGGATGTTCTCCAGTGCTGTTCTGCTGCAATCAAAGATCTAGAATTCTCCTAAACAACATCCCCATCATTTTGTGACCTTGGCAGTTTGTGTCAAAGGATGTAGGTGGGAAGGGTTGTGGAACCAGCTTCCTGTCTTTTCAGTCAAGAAGAAAGGGAGAGAGGAAACCCTGCTTAGCAGAATGCCTAGAATCCTCCAGTGAGGGGCTGGGGTGTGGCTCAGCAGTAGTATTAGGTAGCATTCAAGATGGCCTAGGTTCCACCTGGTTATGAGGGCTCAGCAGCTAGAGGTGCTCCTGCAGATCTTGACAACCTGAGTTCCATCTTCAGAGCCCACATGGTGGAGTGAACTGACTCTCTCAAGCGGTTCCTGATACACGTGCAGTGTGGCATGCGCTCATGCACGGACAGGCACACGCACACAACTAAGTAATTGTTAAAGAACTTTAGAAAAGATGAAATAAGAGAGGGGTCACTGTTTCTGCCAGTGCAGGGCCTCTCTGATTGTTTCTATTCAGGAGCTTCTGGAAGAGGTGCGGAAGGAGCTGCAGAAAATGAAAGAGGAAATAATCGAAGGTGAGGAACTTTGGTTCTGATGCAGCGATTGCAAGGGCCTTGTGTTTGTGGAAAGAACCTGTCTTAGAAGGGAAGGGGATGGAGACTGGCCTGAATTCTTCCTCTTCCCTCCTTCCAGCCTTTATCCAGGAGCTGAGGAAGCGGGGTTCTCCTTGACCATGGGGACCCAGAAGACCCATCTCCTTTCTGACTTCCCGCCTGACGCCTGCTTTCCCTGCCTCAACTTGACCAGAGTACACCAGAAGGAATTCTCCCTCACTATCCCTCTTGGAAGATTCCAGAGGGTGTGGCTCCCTGGTGCCATGACCACACCCATGCTGGCTGCTGATTGGCTAAGGAGGTCCCACCCCTTTGTTCCCTTTGCTCCTTCCCCTTGCCATCCCCTTGGGGCTGGTTCCTCTGCTGGGGATGTACTGAGTAACCCCACAGTAAGGGAAGGAAAGAGGGAATCTCACCTTCCTTTGTTCTGGACTCACTTTAACGCTTTAATGCCTTGGATTTTTTTTTTTTTTTAAAGAAAAAGGATATATATATATATATATATTTGGGTTTTGGGGGGAAGGGAAATTTTTTTCTCTTTGGTTTTGATAAAATGGGGTGTGGGAGTTTTTAAAAGCCATAACCCCAGGCTTGTCCCAGAGGAAGCAGCGCTGTAAGGGGAGAAGCTTTCCCCGCAGGTGGGCGGGACTTCCCCCACCCCAGGAACACCACCCCCTTTACCTTGGCTCCTCCCTCTTTTCTATGAGGAATTAAGATTCTTTAACTTTTTTGGAATCTCAGTTTTGTGGCTTTTTTTTTTTCTTTTTGGGTTAGGATTTTAGGGTCCAGACCATTTTTGCCCTCTGGGAAGATGAAGTGAGAGGGAAGGAGAAGAGGAAAAATAGGTCCTCCGACTTTCACACCTTAGCTTCTTGGACACGGGCCCTCGCTGAATAAATCTGCGGTTTTTATAAATGGGAAGGCCTCTGGAGTCACTTGGGAGGCGAGGATTGCTCCCACCTGTGGGAACCCTTGCAAGGATGCCACTGCCCTCTGCTTCTTGCTTCCCCGTTCTGCATACACACTCCTATTTCTGCCAGACACTCTGCTATGGTCCTCCTGTCCGTGGTCTTCACCAGCCTGCTTCATCCTACAGTGTTGGGGTTGTGTGGCCCTTAAGTCTTACATCTTAACTCTGGAATGCTTTATGTACTTGGGAAAGGTCTCAGAAGATGACTGCCCCCTTGTCAATAGAAATCCCCTCCCAATTGGAATGAATGACACTTCCACCCACCCAGCATGTAACGATTTGAGACACACTCTTTAACCTGGGGCTCCTTTAATTATAAAACGTGTAGTAAAGTTTTAAAAAAAACAGAAGTCAGAGCTCATAGGCCAACCTTTGTGGCCCAGTATGTTAGTAAATTAGTGAATAAGGGAGTTTATTGGTCTTCTGGAATGTTCCATTTGGTCAGAGGTAAAGCTGTTGGCAGATGGGAGGTGTAGCACTGGCCCACGTGGTAAGGGTGCAGATGGTTCCAGCAAAGAGGCTCTCAAGGGAGCGGTGGTGGGCAATGAAGGGGCTGAATGGAGACAGGGAAATGGGATAACCAGCTTACCCTCTCCTAAGACATAAAGAGGAAGATGCACCCAGCCAGCTTGTGGGCAGCGCCCTGGATTAAAGGAAGAGGGTCCACTAGGGGAGAATGCCAGGCAGAGGCAACTCAGACTAAAGGCAGGAGGAGCCAGCCGGCCTCTCCAAAGTGAGGTAGACGGACACTAGGCAGGGAGTGTTCCTGTGCAATGGGCCAGTGCCCTAGGCGAAGGGCTCTTAGATGGTTCCCCATCATGCTGCACCAGTGGGTGAGAGACCGCCATGGGAAGGAACACTCACACCATTCCCGGCCTAGGATCGATCCCTCTGTCCCCAGAGACCAGGACATGTCAGCTGGCTCAGTTCGCAATGGGCCCATGCAGAGTAGCCAGGCGAGGAACAAGCCCAGACTGCAATCCATATCCAAGGTCAGAGTCCAAGGCCTCTACTCAGGGGCCCTCAGAGGGCTGGGGCTCAGGTTCCTGGCTTTCCTCCTCGCAGATCTGGGTTCTGAATTCCCGCAGCTCAGCCCGCAGCTCAGCCCGCAGCTCCTCCAGCGCGCCCCTTGTCACTGCCGCCTGCACCTGCACTTGCAGCTCATCCAGCGCCTGCTCCAGGCGGTCCACGTCTGCCCTCAGGGACCGCAGCGAGGCCTCGCGCTCCACTTCCTTGCGGTGCTTCAGAGACTGCAGGCGCCAGAACTCCAGCAGCAGGCAGCTGCCCGCGCAGGCAAAGATGATGGCCTCGCCCAACAGATTTGCGCCCAGCTCGGCTGCTGCTGCCTCGTTCAATGGCTTGATGGCCTCAGCGTGGAAGCCCATGATGCGCATCTTGGTCCGCATCTCTGCCCAGTGGTACACTGCAGAGAAGAGAGGAGTGTAGGGTTTTCTTTGGCCTGGTACAGCCCCTTACCGGACGATGCCTCCTGTTCCTTGTCTTGGGACCAGAGCCAGAATGGCCTGCCTAGGGGACAGTCACCCAGTCTGCAGTTAGAATAAGGACTTAGCTGGCCTAGGGGGACCCGGGAACATGGCTTAAGAATGGCTCAGGGGTTGAGGATGTGACTCAGTTGGAACCCAGTTTGATGGCATAGGCCTATAAAGTCAGCACTCAGGATCAATGGGTCAAGCTCATCTTTGGAGAGTGGCCTGAACAACATGAGAGCCCCCTCCACTAGGCAGGTCATGGTGATCAGGAGGCCATCTCGAATGAAGCAAGAGACCATCCTGGGCTAGAGGTTTCAACAACAAAAATTGAATGAAATAGCATCCAAAGTCAGCAACGGTTTGGTGATAGGTAAGGGAACCTGCTATGCAAGTCCAGTGACCCGAGTTCTAATCCCAGAACCTGAGGAAGCCCATCTAGAGTTGCCCCGAGTACTACACACACACATACACATACACACACACACACACGAATTAAATTAAAAAAAAAAAAAAAGTCCAGACAATCCAGAGTGGGTATCAGTGAAACTGCTGCTCTGGTTGGGGGGTGAGAAACTTTCAGTCTGAGAACCAATGCAGGGGTAGGGTCACAAGGAGGTCCCAGGGTACAAGACCCCCAAAACAGTCATACACATAAAAATAATCACCAGGCAGTGGTGGCACATGACTTTAATCCCAGCCCTTGGGAGGCAGAGGCAGGTGAATCTCTGAGTTTGAGGCCAGCCTGGTCTACAGAGTGAGTTCCAGGGCAGCCAGGACTACACAGAGAAACCCTGTCTTGATAAAACAACAAAAGAAACAAAAGAAACAGTGTCCTCAAGTAAATTCAGGGAGAATCCCCTATTTACCATCTTATGCTTGTGCATTCTGGGTATGCCTGGCTAAAATCATGCATTATAGGGCTAGAGAGATGCCTTAGCAGCCAAGAATACATCTTCCTCCTGCTCAGGACCTGACTGCAGCTCTCAGCTCCCACGTTAGGCAGCTGACTACTGCTGCACCCTAAGGATCTGATGCTCTCCTCTAGCTCCCATGGCACCCCAACACACATGGCACATGCAGACACATGCACATAAACACAAATATTTTAAAAATTAAATTATACATTATGGGGCAGTGCATGCTTAGTAGAAAAATGATTGTGACCTAATTGATCAACCAGAGTAAGAGAACTGCCCACAGTGCACCCTTAGCAACCAAACTCCCTTGGACCCCATAAAAGAAAGCATTGAAAAGGACCCGAGTCCCCTGAGTGCTCCCTTTCCTAGGGCGGCTGCAGATCTTGAGACAGTGCTCCTCCCTACCCTGCACTGCTGCTCTGCTCTGTAAATTAGGTTGCTTTCACAAGCCCACCTGAGCCCTTACCTTATTGTCAATTCAGTGTGTGTGTGTGTGTCTGTCTGTGCGCATGCATCAGTACTGTGTGTGTGTGTGTGTGT